AGGAGGCCATAAATACAGATTTATTCTTAAAGTTTTAACAAAAATTAAAAAAATAATAATTTGAAAGGAATAAATATGAGAAAAGAGCAAGCTACTGTCAAAAATGTTTTTTTATTGAAAGGTTTTTATAAAGTGTCCTTTCTCAAATCTCCATTTACAAAAACATGTCCTTCGCATCACAACAATAATGGAACAAAAGTCTCCCCATATGATGGTGGTTTCTCTGTGTTATTGTTAAACTCTTCAGCAAATGGAAGCAGACAGAATCACCAACAATAAAGAAGAAGAAGATTGATGCCCATTCAAACCACTGACCCTTTGAAAACTAATCGATCCGTATCTGATTAAAACCACAGATGGCAGTAGCCTTCATACTGCTGTGAAAAAGTCGTACATGAGTCGCATTTGGGCCAACAGATCGGTTTGGGTCGTGTTTACCTGCAGTGTAGCCCTTAGTCTGCGCTGAAAGCTACAGCTTTGCACAAACCCATGTAGGGTTAATGAGTGGAGGAAGGTGTTCAGGTCAAATGATCCCAAAATAAACTATAAGGCCCTTATGTAGCAAAAAACAAACACTGGAAAGCACCCTGAACACACCTTCCCCTCTTTTAAACATGTTTGTGACATCATTATCCTATGGGGATCCTTTTATTTGTCAACATGTACAGAAAAAATGATTAGATTTTACTGAATAATGAGCATTTGTGAAGTCCGGACCAACAAATATGGAGTAACAAAAGCAATAACTATTGGATATTTCAATTTTAAATATAAATGTAAATAATTAGTAACTTTATGTTTACTCTTCATACACCTAATGGTCTATCTGCACAATGCTGAGAACCAGTAGCACCCAAAGCCAGTATTGTTCTACAATAAAATACGCAATGTGAAAGGTGCTTGTGTCATCATTCCATATTGTACAAAAAATAGCTATTTACCACTGGCAGCTATTCCTTTATGTAAATAAACCAAAAAATGGAATAAAAAAACAAAAAAGATCAAATTGTGAGCATGAAACCATGTAATTAAATGAAATTCATGATAATTATGATGTGAAGAAGAAGAAAAAGATATTCGCTGTTTGTAGGTATGTTTTCTACATGCATTGGAACAGAAGCGGTAAATTACGGGGGGTGCAAACGCTCTGTAGTTACATGAACACAAAAACAGGACACTGAAAAAAAAAATAGAAAAAAAGTAAAAAATCTTAAATTAAGTCTATTTATCCTTAATTTGAGTAGATAAATATGATGATTTGCCAATAGAATGAGTATTTTTACTCTTAATATAAGATTATTAGCTGATATAGATTTGAAATAAGACAATGCAAGTATTTTTTTCTTATTTAATATGTAAATTGTTTTTTTCCATTGCCAAAATACACCTCCTCAATTCAAACTAATGCAATTATTTTAAGAAAAAATGACCAATTTAGATTTCAATGTTTTGCAGTGTACTAACGCATTAAACTCATAATAAAACTGCAAGTAAAGAAACAAGGTTCAACCTAGCGTTGCATAACAGAAGTTCTCCAGATCAGAAGGGAGAGGCGATCACCTACTGAACGGGACCAGATTATAGACGTCACATCAGGAATAATCACCGACAAGGTGCTCCAAATCAGAATTGATTACTTCCACCAGGGTCATTGTCGCTTTTTAATGCCGTCACTGATGAGAGAAAGAAATACTAACCAATTATTAACACATTAATGTTTGTTTTTACTGGTAAAATTGTATGATTTTCTGAAGAAGTAGCTGAAAACTATTTATTATCTCTTGTTTGGCTGCAACCTAATGTAATGTTAAGTGATATCGGGTATCTATTCCCAGGACGCAAAAACAATCAGGGCGGCTGGAAGTCATTTTGAACAGGGGGGGGGGGGCTAAATACCTGCTCATATGGGACTAGATAAAAAATACAATACAAATAAATAAATAAATAGATTGACATTCACTACTTTATTCAATATATGTGTTATTAATTAAACTTCAACATAACTCTATAACAACTAGGGCTGCAACTAACGATTCTTTTGCAAATCCATTAATCTGTCAATTATTTGTAGATTAATCGATTAATAATCTGTTAGCAAAAGGTTCCTTTAAGAAGACTTTTTACGAAATTAAATGAGGTGAAAGTAAAACGATTCCAATTGAGGAGTTCTGGACAGAGCATTATGACAGACGAAAGAGATATTTGTTTTTTCAATTTTGGTATAATTGCTGCTCAAAGGTTGTTGATCTGTCACCTAAAGGCATATTTTAGAGTCTCTAAACTACAGTTAACTATTAATCGATTACTAAATTAGTTGAAAATTATTGCCATTATCGATTAATCACAAAGAAGAATTTAAGAACTTGTGTTTATTAGGCCTCAGAACAATGCAATTAAAATCCAAATACTTGCAATTGTAAAATAAAAAAGTCAAAATCAGTTCCCAAAATAATGATAAGAAATGTATTGTGCAAAGTATTTTTAATAAATTTTTTTATTCTCCCTCTCTCCACTAGGGGGTGCTGCAGCACCCCAGCTTCCCACAATAACTCTAAACAATCAAGACTATTTGAGTGGAACTTTTTTCATTAATGGACCCTGCAGCCAATCAAAATCGAGGATCTTCCCAGATCATGCTATAATACCAATAAATGTCTAGATCCCTCGCAAAAATATAAACTGAGAGGGCAATTGCGGAGAAGAAGAAGAAGGTAAGTTTTTCCTTTGACTCCAATGAAAACAATCTATCTGAGCTTCCTGTTTTTCTCCTCATTAAGGGTCTGGTGCCACATCGGCTGATAATCATCTCCCTCTGGTGGTCTGGAGGACCTCTGTTATGCGGAACTAGTTTGCTGCTTTAATTAATGTGCAGTCCTTTTATCTTTTTGCAGCTTTTCCCCTTTGCATGTGTTTGGTATTTGACTTGGCATAATTTATCTGTTTGCAGCAATTCAGTTCAGTTTATTTATATAGCGCCAATTCACAACACGTCATCTCAAGGCACTTTATGGTTCAACCAGATCATCCTGTCAGATTGATCCAAAGTTTTCTCTCTAAGGAAAACCAGTTGATTGCATCGACTCATTG